TTTTTTTTTCAGTGGAGTGCACATTATAACAGTAATGAACATTAATAAAATAACAACAGAAATAAACATTCAGTCCATATTTGGAACTCTTTTTTCTGCTTAACTTTTCATTCAGCTTTACACATATTCCTTGTATTGCACTGGCTTAATTATGATTCGTCCAGACCTTGTGCATGTTGGTACTGCTGTCTCAAGAGGTTGAGTGATTTTTCTTTCGACTGTATCTTTGTGGCTTTTTTCAACCACATCTCTTTTAGGTGTTTCGGCGAATTGCACTTTCTTCTGGATGTTCTGTGTTTGTGTTGCATACATCTCACGAAGATGGCTCCTGGTACGTCTGATTGTGTTTCCATTTGGTGTTTGAACCAAGTGGCTCCCTGCACTTTTCCACAATATTCCCTGGGTGCCATGTTCTCCTCTCCTTGTCCAGCACTCTTACACACTGTCCGTGGAACAGTGGAGGTAAGTCTCTACCCCTACACTGATCATAATGTGTTTTCATCATTGTTGATTTTTTTCCCCAGGTGTTGTCTGTGTTCCAGTTTCCCTGGATCTGCATGACTTGGTAGAGGTGTGGTGATAGGTCTGCCAAGGAGCAATTCTGCAGGAGATGGTAGATCACTGTCAATGGGCGTCGCTCGCGCCTGCAACAAGGCTACTTGTACATCTCCTTTGTGTTGTATTGTTTTTTGATGATGGATTTAATGTGTCTCACATGTCTTTCAATAAATACCACAATGAATGATTTGCCATATAAGTATGTGTGATATCGCTGCATACCATACACAATAGCAAGCATTTCTCTTTCAATGTTGCTGTATCTTGATTGACATTCAGTTAGTGTTTTTGAACCGAAAGCAATGGACCTGTTTGTGACGAGTGGGGGCGGGGCCGAGAGCTGTGGGAACGGAGCGAGGCCGGTGGAGTAATTGATAATGAGCGACACCTGCACCACTCACCGGTCTCTCGTCTCTCTACTATGAGCACATTTTTGCCAGTAAGGGCAGATAATTCATCTCCACCGATAACCTTCACACAGTTTGTAGACTGATCATTCGAGTAGCTCTTTAGTCTGATGAAATCCACAGTCAGTGGCACAGATTTATCTCTGTTTTGATTCAATGTCTTGATGTAATCCATCAGGTCCGCAAAGAACTTGTACCCTCCTTTCAGAACGCAAAGGGCCACGATATGATGCCCGCCCATGTCCCGAACGATATCTCTGGCCAACCTTTCAGTCCTGCAGAGAAAATCAGAATTGAAAGGCAGAGTGTTTAGACATTAATGCTTTCATTAAAACTGGCTGAAGCCGTGCCAAAAATGTCAGTCAAGAGGTTCTTAGGGAAATTTGTTAAACAAATAAACGGGAAAGCCAAATTCAACTGACATGCCTCTCGTACTGCACTAACATCATTAACTAAACAGGGGGAACACAGGGCTCTTTTACTATCGAGGGCATTTCACGGCCACGGCAATAACACAACTGTATCGCTTCACAAAAGAACACTTCCCAATCTCACCGTAACAACCAAATACAATCCTGTATTAAAGACAGAAAAGCAATGATACTGTTTGTGCATTACAGATTAAAGTCGTGCTCATCAGTTAAACGCACCTGTCCTTAATGAGGCCATTGGGTATAATGACACTGTCCAAATGCTCCTCGTAGTGTTTCGGTACACAGAAAAGACTCAGTTCGTGCCCTTTGCTGTCATCAGCTATCTAAAAAAAAAACATTAAAAAAAGCTATTAGAACATCTTTAAAGAAACACTGAGACTTACGATATTTCGAGGAACTACAGTTATTTAATCTACTCGAGTTACACATTGTAAAAATGACTTTTCGAAGTTATAAATTAAAAAAACGATTATTAGAGTATGTTTTACAAGAAAATACTATTTCAAATGTTCACGTTTACATTGCAGTTCAATGTGCTACTTGTTGTTTCTTTGTATTGAAATCAAATTAAATCCTACACATTTTTTTTTTCAATGTATTGGAGTTTATAAGCTTCCTGCACCTTAACCTTAAAAAAAAGAGTTAAGGTGCAGTCACATTTAACATTATTTTGCATTAAAATCATTAAAATTTCACACACACACATACACACAAAAAGACTCTCACATACAGACACAGACTCTCTCACACACAGATTCACACACACACACACACAGACTTGCACACATACACACACACAGACTCTTACATATAGACACACACTCACATACAGACTCACAGACACAGCCTCTTACACACAGACTCTTACATACAGACACAGACTCAAACATACACACACACACACACTCTCTCTCTCACTCCCAACCCAGACTCACACACGCAGACTCACTGCTGGTATATATATATATTTAAATGTCATCCTTTACTTACCATTAAGTAAGAATATGAATATTCAATCTACTCGCAATCAACATTTTTTAGTGACAAAAAGTTAAGGTGCAGACACATTTAGTGTTATGCTGAAACTTTTTGCAGGTGCAATCCAGTCATTAAAGTAGTAGTCGACACATAAAAATATATATATTTTTAAATATGTAGGTTTTTCACCAAAATATGAATATTTTGATATACTCACTCACTTATTATACTCACTTTTTTCTTTGTTTTTTGGCGACAAAGAGTTAAAGGGATAGTTTACCTCTAATACACCACTATGTCCAACTGCTTTGAGTGCGCGCACGGCATCCGGTGCGTGAGGTGTGTACGCGCTCTGGCGTAGTTTACGTTAATGGGTGTGTTGATATCCAGCCGAAGAGCAATCAACCATAACTTCACGCGAGCAGGCTCAGAAGTTGGGAATACGTGGAAAGTCACCACTCCCGAATGAGTTCGCGCGAGAGAACGTAATCTTTTAGTTTTAAGTCGGTTTGAACAATCCGGATAAGCGCAAGTAAGTACCATTTTGATTAGCCATCGTACCTACAATGTTTGTGCACTGTGTAAACAATGAGTGAAATATACGCGCGAGAGATCACTTCCGGCGCTTGCGTAAACTACACCAGGGCGCGTACACACCTCGCGCACCGGATGTCGTGCGTGCGCCCAAAGACAGTTGGACATAGTGGTGTATTAGAGGTAAAATATGATATAAATACTGTTCAGTTTCTGGCACAAACCGATCGTTTCGTGTCTTAGGACATCAATGTGTCGTCACGAGCCGCAGGGTTTAATTTGGATTTATCTGTGCATGTTTTTTTTACTCTCATAGATTTTGTTACCATTGCCATGCATTATACGACTGATGGACTGCAACGGCTGGAGTTAAAAATCATAATATGTGTTCTACTGAAGAAACAAAGTCACCTACATCTTGGATGCCCTCGGGGTAAGCAGATAAACATCACATTTTCATTTTTGGGTGAACTATCCCTTTAAGGTGCAGTCCCATTTGAAAAAAATTCAGTCATTTTAATAGGAATATCCAAGATTGTGAATTTCGCACGAGTGTGTAACATTTCCTCTCGCAGATTTCCCATCAGGTTCAAGTTGAACACGCTAATTCGCTGCACAGACCAACAGAAAGCTGCGTAGTTTGAATGTGACTTCTGTGTGAGCTATGATTCATACACACTAATGATAATAGACTATGGAGCTTTCTTTACCCGCAAAATTTCACTAATATCAACACAAAGCTCTGGTTTAGAGAACTGAAATTGCCTTTCACGTGCTTGTTGGACATTCCCAGTCTAAATATGATTTGAGGGGGTGTGCAGCTTCCAAGTCCATGTGCAATTATAATTCACACAAGTGAAGGCAGCATTACAATACAGCACATCGGTCGCATGGTCTACATTTATGGTCATTTTAGAGTCATTTTTGTATCATTTGTTGGAGCTTGACAGCTGTAGTTTTTGTTTTCATTTTATGGAAGAGAGCAAAATTTCCTCTTTTGTGTTAAGGGTGAGAAAATGATGACAGGTTACTTAGAGATATATATATATATATATATATATATATGTGTGTGTGTGTGTGTGTGTACGCGTTTTTGTGACAAATGAGGACATAAATTTGTATAATGACAATAACATAGGGATTACAAGGAGAAGGTGACTTTTCAGGATATTACCCCATGTCCCCACTTTTCAAAACGCTTATTAATCACACAGAATGGAGTGTATTGAAAATCTGAAATAGCACAAAGTTTCCTGTGAGGGGTAGGTTTAGGGGTAGGGTTGGTGTAGGGCAATAGAATATACGGTCTGTACAGTAGAAAAAACCATTACGCCTATGGGATGTCCCCACTTCTCACAAAAACAAACCTGTGTGTGTGTGTGTGTGTGTGTGTGTGTGTGTGTGAGTGAGAGAGAGAAACCTGTCATCATCTATATATATTTTTTTTTTGGTAATTACTTTAAACACTGCACGCTGATCTAACGCACCCGCTCTTGCGTTCAAACCGGTTTAGAACGCGATCAATTACGGCGTTCGCGTTTACAAAACCACTCTCTTTCTGGGCGTTAATTAAGCTTTTCATGACAGATCAGCTCAAACGTGCGGTCTAAAAAACAAAGCTAATGAGTTGTATGAATAATTTAGGAGTTTGCGGACATATAGTGCCGAACCACACCTCATGAACCTGTCGAAACGCGAAGAGTCTCCATCCGACGCGCGTCTCGCTCAATAAAGCAACAGCGGCAAGGCGCGCCGGCGTCTCTTACCTCCAGATACGCGGCCATTCTGCTGTTTGTCCTTCAGGTCGGTGTCGGTGGACTCATGCCGGCGTCGGTCAGCTGGAGGAGAGCGGCTCGGTCTGCTCGCGTCCGGATGAAGCGCTCGTCTGCTTTGCATGAAGTCAACGCGACGCTTCCTAAACCCTTACGTCACAATCCATGCTACCCACTAATCTGACTGAGCCGTGGCACCCATAGACATGTCTATGCTGGCACCCTGTGCTTTACCAGCAGAGAAACCGAGTCAGCGCGTTTCTGTCCCAGCACCGAATGGGTCTGACAGGGCATATCAGGAGGCAGCAGAGTGTGGACTGACTGATGGGACTCTGTCACTGACAAATATATATATATATTTATTTATTTATTTATAAAATGGAAACCTACCAGAATGCATTATCCGACCTCTTTCTTTTGTGAACGATATAAAATGACACAGTGCAGGATTTAGGGGGACGGGGGCCCCTGGGCTCGAGGTTATGTTTGGGCCCTATACCTACTGTACAATACAAATGCCCTCAAATAGAACATCATTATGGAGTAACACAAAATACACAAACATATGCTTTGAGGTTCATAAATAGTACAATTAATATGCAACATGTCTAGGCTATAGTCAAAGTTTAATGTAATATTAAATATTCATTGTAATATAATAAGCAGGATGTGTTCTCTCAGTTGAGAGATCAAAACCCTGAAATAACTCTGAGCAACAACAATAACAACAAAAACCCAGAGATGTTGGCTTATTAGTATTATAAAAGTTATTGTCATATCTGTGTCCTCTTATGTCAGGTTCTTATTTAATCAATAAATTGAATCGGATGAAAAGACATGCTGGCTATTAACAATCAAATGAAATCACTATCAACAAAATTCATAGATGGTTTGTGCATAAATGTTGTTTAAATATAACATTTTAATGTAGAAATATTAAATGATTGCAAAAATGAAATAAGCTACTTTTTTAAATATGAAACTACAACCGCCAGTAGGTGGCAGCAAGTGACTGTCTTAATGAGTGAGTTGAATCAACCGATTCGTTTAAAAAGTTGATTCATTTAACTTTGCAAACGACTGTACTTATAGCCTGATTGAATCACTTGCTGGTCCGTGTAACGCTGAGGAACAAAACACACTGTTGTTCGGAGACGCAGCGGTTCTGCTGTTTGTTCTATCTTCTTTCTGACGGAGCAAAACGGAATTTTGTGTCTGAAAGTTACTCTGTAAGTTGTTGTTTATTGTACATTTGCGATCTTGCAGATATTCGGGAAAAAAACAGGACTCTTGTTTGTGTGATAGG